GAGGTTCTGGACTCACTGCGAAGCGATGCCCTTGCCGGCTCTCGGTCCCTCGGTCGTTCCCTTGCTGGCTCTCTGGGCACCTCCATCTCCGTCAGCCTCTCCTCCTTCTTCTCCACCGGGACGTAGAACTCATAGTCGATGCCGGGGTTCTCCTTGTGGAAAATTATCTGGAGAGAAGAAGAGGGCAGATCAGAAAAACACAGAGAAGACGAGCTGCAGGATGCAGGATGCAGGATGCGCTGCAGGACGTGTATCTGGGAGTCGGCGTCAGGCCCAGACCCGGCAGATGATGGACGGCGCTAACTCGGTGGAGGCCGTCTGACACAATCAGTCTGACAACAGACAACAACATTCTGATGTCCTCTGTTTTGCAGCTGGTGGTTTGTTCTGGCAGAGCAACATTTGCACAACGTTGGAAAAACTGATGTTGTGATGTTTGCTTTAATATCTTTGTTATTGCACAACCCAGATGTTGGCTGTGACAGAGGGGCTGCTGCTGGGTGGTGGCCTCTGTGTCGGAGGGAGTCTGTAACAGTGACAGTAAACATGAGCGTCTCCTCTGAAGCAGTAAATCTGGTTCTGATGCTGATGTTCAGCAGCTCTAAAAACACTTTCTACCAATATTTCTGTTTCTGTGGTTATGAAAGAATCAAAACAACTTTCTGTTCGTGTCTGTGACCCAGAGCTTCATCTGAAAGTGTTCTGATGTGTCGTCTGTGTTCCTGTGACCTGCAGCTACATGTGGGTCAGAACACATCACTGGTTCTGAAGCATCAGGTTCTAGTTCATGAGCTCAGAGATGGAACTTTTCATTTTGACTTCAGCTTTTTTCACATTTCAACTCACCAATAATCAGATTATTGATCTACAGGTTCTGGACCAGTGACAGGATGAGAACTAACAGAACATTTCAGATCCTTAAGACTTCCTCATTCAAACCTGCTGGAAGTGGGTCGAAGGGCAACTTTCTAAAACATTTATGATCCCAGAAAGTATTTAATCCACGAGGCTCAGACCCTCCGAGCTGAGCCTGACAGACACACTTTCATCTTTCAAAGCTTTCTTGGAGGCCTTCTGAGAGCCGAGGCCTGAACATCCTCAGACTTCTGGTTCCTCATCCGGCTGCTTCTCTTCAGTACCGTCGATGGTCTTGTTTTTATTTTAAGCCTCCAGAATGCAGGAGATCAGCCTGCCGTTATTTTTACCCTCCAGTGACTGGATGTAAAGCTGCACATGACTCCTGTCCTTTAATAAGACCTCAGCCTCAGGTTGTTATGAAGGCCTGGACGGTGGGATGAGGCTCAGCAGCAGAACCGTCTTCATCCCGCCCCGGTGCAGCAGTAATGCCGCCTATGTGGGGGATCAGCAGCCTGGGGCTCCAACAATCATATGGAGATGTGAGACATTCAGCGTGATTCTTATCGTGGGTTCATCTGGCTGCTGTTTGCTCAGAATAAAAGCCTTCCTGTGCTCACATAAAGCTGCAGCTGGGCGCTGGTGGGCCCCGGCGCCTTCAGGGACTCGCCCCTCTCCTCCTCCCCTTCCGCCTGAGCTCTGGGTCGGGTGTAGGTGAAGGTGGTGCCCCCGGCCTGGTACTCTCCTGGAGGGTCCACGGCCCAGCGCCCGTTCACCACCGAGGCCCCGGTGCCGCTCCGCATGGCTGCAGGGACGGAGCAGAGGGAGCGTTAGAGGTGTCAGGTGCTTCAGTCCTTCTCTTCTCATTGGTTTAAAGCTGCCTACGTCTGACACTGGTGCTAAAAAAAGAACAAAAAACTGTTTTAGAGTTTCTGACTTTTGTCCTTGAACTACTCGTCTGTTGTTTGTTAAAGAAAATGAACCAAATCTCAGCCTGAAACATGAATATTTCATCAAAATGTATTTATTTTAATCTAAACATTGTCTGTTTGCATTCAACAGGTTGTGCTAAAACCTAAAAAGTTATGAGTGACTCAGCTGCGACCTACAGTTTCAAATCTTACAAAACAAAAACCAGAACTAAGTCCTGCAGTCAAATGTCCCGTCAGTGAAAGTAGAAGCAACATCATGACAGTATATGAAACCCTCTGGACTCAAAAAGCTGCTGCAGAGTTAAAAACGTTTTATAAAAATCACTGAAACGTCATCATTCATCAGCCAGAAACTGTACAGACAGAAGAATGAACTTCCTGACGGTCCTTGAACTCCTCATCTGAACCGTGAACTCGCTGATTTCATCTCATTCATCAGATTTGCACCAGATTCTGTTAAAACACAAACAAATTCTCCACAGCAGCTCAAAACAGTCACAGCAGAAAAACCCAGAGCTTCCAGGTCAACTCCAGGGTTTGAAACGGACCTTTTCTTCATGAAGAAAACCACCAGAACCTGTAAAGACAGAACGATGCTGAACTTCCCGCTGGAGCAGATCAGCTGTGACGTTCAGCTTCACCGTGAAACGAACCAAACGTTTCATCAGACCGAGTTCCACGAGTCTCATTTAGAAATCTGCCAAAAATAAACTCTTTACCTAAACCATCCATCATCATCTAAACCTTAATCCTCACCAGGGTCATGGGGGGCGGAGCCTATCCCAGCTGACTGAGGGTGAAGGCAGGTTCACCTGGACAGGTAACCAGTCTATCACAGGGCTACACTTAGAGACAGACAACCAAGCACACTCACATTCACACCTACGGACAATTTACAATCACCAATTAACCTCAGCATGTTTCTGGACTGTGGGAGGAAGCCGGAGAACCCGGAGAGAACCCACGCTGCACGGGGAGAACATGGAGACTCCACGCAGGAAGATCCCGGGTGTCCTCACCAGGACGCCAACCGGCGACCTTCTAGCTGTGAGGCCACGGTGCTGACCACTGAACCACCTGCAGCCTTTTACCTGAACCAGATTCTGTAAAAACTGAAACCAGTCTGCACCCCTCGGCCCAACCAGGACGTCTCTAGTGCATCATGTGACCAACGTGACTAAACGTCTGAGAGTTCATTGGTTGAGCTGCAGGCGGTGGTCCAGAGTGGAGACCAATGAAACCTGCTGCCAGTGAAACACCTGAAGCCTGAGGAGTCACATGACCACGCTACGCTTTGCACTTTTTGTAAAATAAATATTCAAAGAAATTCAACTTTCTCTCTGGTCTCTGGTTCTGAGTCCTGCTGACAGGAGACATCTCTGAGTTCTGTCTCCTCCTCCTTCATGTGGTTCTGGTTCCTCAGAGCTGCAGGACTTCAGTGAAACATGACCCTCAGTGGGTTAAACTGAGCCAGAACCTGCTGGACTCTCAGTGAGCTCAGACACCCTCCAGACGGACAAACACAGACTCTGGATGTCGTCTGATGAACAAACAGCAGGCAGCCGAAGACAAACACTCACACGTCCACGTGCACGCTCTGCTGATCGCCTCTGAGCTCTAACAAAGCAGCTTTCTGGACCCAGCATCTGCGAGGCCTCAGTCACAGCCAGCAAACACGGCGCCGGGGTCCAGATCTGCTCTGAGCTCTGGGGCCTACCGAGGTAGTTGGGGCTCGCCCGCCTCTCCGTGATGTTGATGAAGGTGGCTCCGGGGGGGATGTCCAGGATCTTGTGGTAGCCCAGAGGCACCGTGGCGTTCTGGAAGCTCCCCGTCACCTTCCGGCACGACGTCTCCCGACCGCCGCAGACGCCGCACCTGTCGACCAGCGAGCCGGAGCCCAGGACGCCGTCGCAGCCTTCGGTCTGGAGGAGAGAGGGTGGAGACATGTGGACGGGTTCACCAGAGACCGGAGGGTTCAGGGAGGATCTGACGGCCTCCACAGCCCACCAGAGCCTCCTGCTTCGGGTCAAGTCTCAGTGAACCCGGTTCCATGAACCACAGACGAACACACATCAGTAGATCCACACAGGCTTCAGGTTTCTGACACGTCTGAACGATGTCACAGGACTGGACTGGACTTCACTGGTTCTGCTGCAGGCGGGACTTCACAGAGCAGCAGCAGCTCACGTACACACTAAAGTCAGGAGTTCTAAGGTTTAATGGGTTTTACGAAGGTTTTACGAAGGTTTTATGAAGGTTCTACCTCGATAGTCTGACATGTTGTTGTTTTATTGTTTATTTCTGTGCCCTTCAGGACCTTTTAATCCTGTTGTTCTCACACAGTGACGATAAAAACATCCTGATTCAGGAAATATTAAAACATGTGACAAACACGTGAAGGCATCACGTGGACGTCATTGTGAACCGGAGCGTTCTGCATCACCACGGCTTTGATTTTATTATTGATCCTCATTAAAATATTGAATTTCTTTGATTATTTGTTTTACAAAAATTGAGAAATCCTGGAATCAGCGAGAACATTAAAAAAAAACTGGAATAAAATGTTTAAATATTTACATTTAAATCAGTTTTCTGACTCGTCTCTGTGGAAACACTGATTATTAGAATATATCACAGAATATTAGTTTTTACAATAAGCAGGAAGAATAAAATGTATTATTTCTATTTTAAAGACTGACCTGCAGGTCACTGATGAGGAGTTCAGGGACCGTCAGAAAGTCCGTTTGTGTCATTTTGGAGTCGTCTTTAAACGCTGTGATGTTTTTAAATGTGTGAAGCACTTTGCTGCTCTGATACCAATAAAGTTTGATTTGATTTGTCCTTACAGCCAGCGTCACGCTGCAGCTTCTGTGGTTCAACCTTTAAATGTAATTTGATCAGTAAAACTCTGCCTCCTGGTTTCAGACGGACTAATGCTGGAGGAGGTCCGGTTCAGTCCAGTCCAGTTCAGGGCCACTGCCAGCGTTTGTTTCCCTGATGTCGGTGCAAACTGCTGCTCAGGATCTTCTGCCAGCAGCTGAATGAAACCAGCGTGCAAATGAAAGAAAAAGGAAAAGCTGCAGAGAACAGAACCGCGTCTGGACCAGGGTTCTCCAGCCCTGGTCCTCCTGAGCTCCTGTCCTGCAGGTTTTAGATGTTTCCAACACACTTGACTCAGATTAATGGATCTCCACCAGCTTAAGTTCTACACGTCTGCTAGCGATCCATTGATGTGAGTCAGGTGTGCTGCAGTACGGAACCGTCTAGAACCTGCAGGACAGTAGCTCAGGAGGACCGGCGCTGGAGATCCCTGGTCTGGAGGAGTTCTGGATGTCTGAGTGGCCCGAATCGGGCTCCAGACGTGGGACGAGCAGAGCCGGCAGGTTCTGGGCCCCTGGAGCAGGACACCTACCAGACACCGGCCGTCCACGCAGACGTCGTTGGTGCTGACGTTGAAGCAGGTCGTCCCGTCTCGGACTCGCTCCGCCTGCCGGACGTAGAACCGATACCCGGCGGGCCTGCAGGTCAACTCGCACTGCTTGTCTGCTCCGACTGCAACACAGAACCAGGAGGACGGTCAGAACTCGACATGTTTTAGTTGTCGTTTGTCTTCTTTAAGTTTTCAAACATGAATAATTCAAAATGATCGTTCATTTCAAACAACAGCAGACACGTGTAAAATCACTACAAACAATAGTTTAACCCTTAAAATAAATTCATTTTCTTTACATTATTGGCTATGATGTGTTAAATAACGTCTTGTTTTGCTGATTTAAATACAGTAAAAAGACTATTTATAACATGTCAGTTAACACATGTTTACTGTTAAAAAGAAAACTTGTGTAGCAGCTAAAAAACTTCCAAAGTTCAGGGTTCTTTGGGTTTTTTCTGTCTGCTGGTTTGGACTGAGCTGGCGCTGAACGTCTTTCCAGGTGGTGAGGAAACCACAGAAGCGACTCCCAGGAGGAGCTCAAGGTGTAAACATGAGCCTGAGAGGGGGAAGATTTACGGCGTGACACACCAGAGAGGAAGAACGAAGGCGAAGCTTCAAGGTTAGAGAGGAAGTAAAAGAGCTTCAGGGAGAACGTCGAGAGGAGCAGAAGGACAGAAGGAAGAACCCGACCGCTCTGTGAATAAATGGTTCAGCCCACATTGACTTCAACTGTTTGCTGCTGTTCTGTTGAATACAGATTATATCGAGTTAAAAAAAGTATTTTAAAGAAACGAGTCAAAATGTGTTCATCAATTCATAAACTACATGTTAAGCTGAAAAAACAAGAACAAAAAGTGTAAATCTGGGAGCTCAAAAGTTCTGTTTCTATAAATGGAAACTCATTATTTTATCATGTCTGACTGTGAAATCACTCAAACCTTTACTAAAAGCAAAAACATACTGATTCATGGGTTTAAAATAACAGCGTCTGTGTGTTTAGGACTAGAAAAACGATCACCACATCTTTAACCTGGTATTTTGTCCTGTTCCAGATAACAGCCAGTAAACCACAGAGTAAAGGACTCATTCACACATTAACTGTAAATAAAAGAAATATTTGAATGTTAAAGTTAAAAAATGGGAAATGAATGTATAACTTCTGTTCTCATATTATTGCAGCTTCATTTGTTCTGGATAATTCCTCGTTAACATCTGCTTTTCATGAAGTGTCACATTTTTATGGTGACTATAAAGAAATATTTTTATAATGGCAATTTATTTTATTTTTTTTCACTACATTTGACACAAAATTACACTATATTTATATTTAAATCACCAAAATAATGTGATTGTTTTAATGAGATTTGCTGTTATTCTCACATTCTTTTATGGAAACGTTGAGCTTTTCACTGTCACATCACAACAGCGCTGCTAAACTCTGAGGCCACAACACCAGCGTTTGCTTCCCCACAAGGTTTCTCCTTCGGCCCGGTCAGACCTCAGCAGGAAACCCAAAGTTCACACCATCAGAGTCAAAAGGTTCCAAAGGTGGAACACCAGAGTCCAGCCTGGAGAATCCAACGCAGGATTCAGCTTCGTGTGGTTTCAAGGATCTCTCAGGATCCTCAGTTTTCCTTCAGTTTGTCACAGCTTCATGTGCAACAAGAAGAAGTTTTCTTGGTTCTGCAGCGATGAGCCGATTCACAGAAAACAATCATTCAGACGCTCATCACTCAGATCTCCTCAGAGACACGGAGGGAACGGAAGTGAAAGAACAAGAACAGACAGAAAACACTGAATTAAAATAAAACGGGTAAACTCTGGACGGAGGAAGGTGACGCTGACTTCAGCTGCATACGACAACATAAAGACCCTAAAGTAGAAATAAAGCGAAACCAAACTGTGAATGTGTAGACACGAGCTGTTTAAAGTCCAACACAACACCGGTCATCAGCAGTGACCCGGAGGAGCAGGACGAGTGAACCTGGACCTCCTCACCGCCTGCAGCTTCACGGCTTCGTCTTCGGTCAACATCCTGTCTGACGCATTCTTTCATGAACAAATATTTTAAGGACATCAAGGAGGGAACTCCGCCTCACTGAGTGGATGGAAGTCGTAAAGACGTCACACACGGAGACGCTTCCACAAACTGGATGTTTTCACCGTAAACGTTTGTAGGAAGAAGCGCTGGGTGGATAAATCTGAAGTGGAAACGCTGCGGGGGAGCGCTGGTGCATCTAAACATCAGCTTCAAGGAGCTCAGGGCAGGAAACAGCAGTGACTCATACATACAGAGAAAACGCTTCACCGACGGACAGAAACGTGTCATCAGCATACGAGGAAACATCAGAATAACAATAAGAGAAGGACATGTGCCGGACAGCGGATCAGAAGATACTTCTGGATGAAATGGAGAGTTGGTCATTAGTCTGAAGATTCATTTGCAGACAGAAAGTCAGACGAGGTATCTGCTGATATAAAACACTGAAGGATTTTATAAGCTCAGAGATTTATCAGATAAAAAAACAGCCTAAAACATGTTGTTGGCATGTTTCTGGTTTAGTAAAGAAAATAAAAACTCACCTTTTGTTTGATGTTGGACAGAAATAAAGCACTAGAACAGCTCTGCCTTGTTATTCCTCATTATACTGTTTCTCACCATAAATCTGGATACTTCTTGGTTCACTTTGTATTTTAATTGGTTTCTACATTTATTTGGTTGATGTCAGTGTTCCTGTAGCTGACACTGAAATGTTTTTTCTTTTTTTAGCGTCACGTCTGCTAACGGCAGAAACTGCATTTTTATTCAGAATAAATTAAACCAAACTGTTAAGATGTATAATCAGCATCATGTCTATGAAGAAATCCACGAGTCAATTTAAAGGACAAATCAGAATTCAGCTGCTTCAGTTAAAAAAAAAAAACATTTAAAAAAATAAATATAAAAACAAAAGAAATAGTTGAACTGTACCCTTAACATCTCAGACTAACTGTGTTTTTATGTCATTTCCAGCCAGAAGGTCAAACTGAAGCTCCCTGTAAACCAAACGTCTCGTTAATTTGTAGTTTAGGATCATTTCAGCGCTGATTTTTGGGCGTAGCTGATCATTAGCATGGAGCGTGTTATTGTTGGCCTCCACCGGCCGGCTGCAGGACGGCAGAGCGGAGGAGAGGAAGCCTCGTTCCCACCCTCCATCCCTCCGTCCTGCTTCTCTCCATCCGTCTGTCATAGTTGTCTTTGAGAGATTAGACTGGAGACAGTGTCGGAGCAGAGCGCTCGCAGCGAGACACTCGGTCCTCTGCTGCTGCCTTCCTGCATTCTTCGTCCTCCTCCTCCTCGTCCTCCTCTCGCCTCCACACCAGCTCTTATTTTCAGCCTCTGGCCGCCGTCCACCTCCTGCTTCTTGCCGTTTCGGGCCGACCCTCTGCCTCCTGCGTCTCTGTGTCCCAGCCCAGCGCTCAGACGGCGGGATATGTGTTGTCTAAATACGCTGGCCACTATCTCTCCATCTAAACAAACTGCAGCAGGGACAGGAAGGGAGAGGGGAGGACGGCTGAGCGCCCAGGGGACAAATATTCAAGTAAAACAACACCTGCACGTGCAGCGCTTCACAAACCAAAGAGGAGCTGCTGCTCACGAATCAGCCTGGACGGCCGTTCCTGTTGGTAGAAGCTGCTGCAGCTCCACGTCCACCTCGGAGCAGACACAACACCGGGACGGCCCGACAGGACGGCCCGACGGGAACCACTAGGAGAGGGTCAGGACAACAACCCACAGCAGGGACGGGGATACAGGACGCGACCCAACGGCACCAACGAGACATAAAGCAGCACATGTGAGACACAAGACAAGTAAAATAACAAGAAAACAGACAAACGTGTCACAAGACGTCACAGAGGAGACACAGGACGCCACCCAAAGTAAAACAAATAAGATCCAAAACAACCAAAACTAAAGGAGGCAAAGACGCACAAACGAGAAAGAAATCAACAAAAACGAGACACAAAATGACAGAAAGGAGATAAAAGTGTCCCAAAGAGACGCTGAACAACTGAAGACACACAACATGAGACGCAAAACAACAAAAAAAGGCTAAAAATGATGCTAATGAGACAGAAAACAGCACAACAGGCGACACACTGATCTAATGCTGACTCAGCGTCTTCACCATAAAACACTGATGGCTGCTGGGAAGTCCAGTCACACAGCTCATCAGTGAAACGCTGTCGTCTATGAACATTCATGAACTGTTCATCACAACAGTGACACTAAAATCAAAACAGCGCCGACAGCTGCAGGAGCTCAACCAACAGAAGGAACCTTCACAGACGGTTGTTCATTAGTTTGCTGTAAATCATCTGGTCGCTCATTGGCTCTCATTAATTACACTTTTATTGTATTTAAATCAGCAAAAAATAGAATTACTTCAGTGGTGCTGGCTGATATGTTGAGCGTTGGTTTGTTTCTAACAGTGTTCTGGAGGTTGTGTTTGTCTGTTTGTATTTATCTTGTTTTCCTGTTTGGTGTTTGTACAGATGACTGTGTGAGAAGATCTGATGTTGGTCAGAAGCTGTAGAAAGCTCTCCAGCTGAGGTTTGTTGTTGACTCTGGAGGATCTGAGCAGCTTCGAGCTCGTCGCTGATTTAACGAGACTCAAAGAACAACGTGACGGCACACTTTGATAAAACCAGAAAATAACAGACAGAGACCTGTGAGACCTGTGGGACCTGTGAGACCTGTGGGACCTGTGGGACCTGAGACCTGTGGGACCTGTGGGACCTGTGGGACCTGAGACCTGTGAGACCTGTGAGACCTGTGAGACCTGTGGGACCTGAGACCTGTGGGACCTGTGGGACCTGTGAGACCTGTGAGACCTGTGGGACCTGTGGGACCTGTGGGACCTGTGGGACCTGAGACCTGTGAGACCTGTGGGACTTGTGGGACCTGTGGGACCTGTGGGACCTGAGACCTGTGAGACCTGTGGGACCTGTGACACCTGTGAGACCTGTGGGACCTGTGAGACCTGTGGGACCTGTGGGACCTGTGGGACCTGTGAGACCTGCGAGACCTGTGGGACTCGGCGCTGGGTGAAGGAAACCCTGAGTGTTTACGCAGACAGCCGGCTGATACCGAGGGCTCCAAACACACCATCCATCACGTGGACCCGCCTCCAGCCCTCACGCCGCCCCGTCTGGCCCAGATATAGAACCCTCCAAGGTCGGCCGGCTGTTTTTGCCTCGATGACGCTGTGACGGTTATCTGCTGACGTCTCCGACCTTCCTGAGTCGGTCACAGGCGTCTGCAGCGTAACCCGGACGTCTCCAAAGCGTTTCACTTTAGGACTGGAGGGACGACGACGACGGGAAACACGTGACTGGAGTTGTGAAAAAGAGAATTCTTTCCAGAGCAGAGCTGGTGTTGAGCTCAGAGTCCAACAGACTGCTGCTGAAGGAACCACCAGGCGTCTCCCAGATGCTAAACCGCTGCTAGCTGCAGCTAAAGCCAGAGGAGCAGCGCCAGCTCATCAGAAAGTTCTGTTTTACTGAACCTCTGAACCCGTTGGTGGGTCTAAAATGCATGTAGTCTTTAAAAATGTGGAAATGATCCCAATTATCAGCCAGAAAGCGTCAGAATATAAAACAAGCCGACAGACCAGTCAGGTGACGTCTGAAACATTCACCACATCTGAGACTAAAATCTTGATTTTCAGCAAAGTTCCCTCACGTTTAAAGATTTGCCAAAACGAACCAGATCCTGCTGAGAACACCTGAGAACCCGACTGACTGCCTTCAGTCTCCAACTCAAACACTAAACGGTTCCTGTTGCCTCCATTTAGACACAAACGCCACCGTTGTTCTCTGGAGCCCCGAGTGTGTCATCGACGCAACAGCTTCAGAAACTAAAAACAGAAACCAGCGTTCAGCTGAGTGACGTCAGCACAACCAACCAAACGTCTGAACATAGTCCATA